CCCAGAGCTGATCGTGGGCGGGGGCATACTTGCTGAAGCGTAGAAACAGTTTGGACCGAGGCTTGAGGAGACGTAAGTGTTTTGCTGGCAGAGCCTTGACTGACTGATTCCCCCTTTGTTTTCTCACCCATGGATGGTAACAAACTCATGAAAGCGGCGTTATCACTTCACTGTCGTCGTCGTTGTTAAGTCAACAAAGCCGCCAGCAAAATGTCAATGGGGTTGACTGGTTTATTACTGTCACTTATGAAGGTATAAGATGGAGCAGTACTGAGCAGTCAATAGATAACAGTCCCGCCGACTGGGGCACTGGATTGTGTGAATCACCACCAGCACACGTAGTAAGTCGGTTTTGTAATGTATTGTAAACCATTAAGGCTAGCTATAATTGTCAGTCGTACAAATACGAGATACAAACTGGTTTGCACCCTTAACTACTACTACGATACTCATCGTACTTTGGTGTAATAGCAAAAACAACGGTATAAACGGAAATTGAAGGTCTGCAGGATAACTGAGGGATGTAGATGACAGTGAGCAGGTTTTTGGACGTCCACATAGATTGTAGATGAGCCTGAGGTTGGATATGGCTTGTGACTATCGACAGGAACACGTTCGTCTCCCAAAACCCGTGCCACCGAACCCCCACAATTTGCAAATCCTCGTAATCTCGTCGAGGGTGCAGAGGAGACAAGGTCAGCCGTATTCGGCCGGCGTTCATGCGCTTTCATACATTGGGACCATCGAAAAACGCCATTCCGATGGTACCATTCAATTCTACTGGTTCGATTCTAATCAACTGCTTAAGAACTGAGCCATAATGTACTCAGCCGTACAGGATGCCTAATGCCATGTTTATTTAGAGGGCAGCGATTCTCAGCGTCACCCACGGTTCCAGCCGGCTCACCCAGAGTTCCAGCCGGCTGCAAAACCCTTGCAATGTGCAGGGAAGAAGATGATGACTGGATGATGAAAAGAAACATGGAAATGAATCAGGATCATCCCTGAAAAACTCACTTTCTCGCGTAATTTCCATCATTTCTGTTTTTCGCGAGCGAAAAATTGAACAAGTTTGACCCTCGACGGCTAAACAACAGTGATGATTGTAATGATAAGTTACTAGTTAATACCGAAATGACACGAACGAATGGATGAATGAACGGCATGATGCAGTGACACGTAGTAGCCACTACTACTACTACTACTCCTACTACTACTGGGGGATAGCCATGTACGCTGGCCGATGGATAGCATTGACGTAGCAGAAGGCTGGTGGCTGAATGACGCGACAGTAGATAATCCATGAGCGTGTATAGTAAATCGCAGCTGAGTACTTCATAATTACTCGACGAAACCGGAATATTTGGAGCGAAATAAACAAGCGAAAAATACTGCGTAAAGCGTCGTCACACACACAGAGGCAACATGCCACGTTCAGTTGTCGTTATGAACGTGACGCTTGAAAATTGAGGAAAAACCGGGATAGATTGTAGCAGACTGTGACGCCGCCGCTTGCCGCCATCCGAACAACGCCACCTTCACCACAGAAGGGTGGCGGTGCTGTTCACCATGACAGGGTGGGCCGGCTGTTGCTGATCAGACAGTTATAGCAGCACCGGGCGACAACCGTAGGGGATCTCAATCTCGTGATTCCTGACGATAAAATATAGACCATGAGAACCGGAACACACGTATGTCGTTCCGCAAACAAAACACAGCCGGTCGGCTGCCGGCACTTGTGAGTGCCTACGAAAGTCTCTCATTTCGCGTTGTGACATGCCATGACTAACGACGTTATGGTGCACCACAAAAACCTTCTTGTGCACCCCAATGAAACTGCTGTTCAACCCACATTTCGGCATTCACCCACCAACGTGTCTCAACGCGCATATTCAAACACAACCCACACTCCCCCTCCTCCCACATCCCCAACTTTTTGAAGTCCGGAAGATGTATGAGTCAGTTTTCCGCCTTTTTGGGGCGGCTTGAAAAAGAACAAACGATGACATGTAAGTATGGAATGATTGATAGGAGAGGCATTCTGACAGGAACGGCAACGAAACCACAAGTGCAACTATTAACACTGGAATTACTGTTAACAGATAACTTGTTAATCTTGACACTTCGATGAACGAAGCTACACAATGGGCGAAGTACCACAGTTAATCATTAGATATTCCTGGATACTCTTAGACGTCCTTATGAGACCACGAGTAGACAGAGGCACGAAATTTCTTCCGATTTCCGAAATTGATCCAATTTTCTCCTCTCGGTCCAGCCACTTGCTAGACCTGGCTGGTGAAATGATAAATAACCTTATCACTGATACGTTGAGGACCATCTGAAGCAGCCAGGATGGAAGGACATAAGAAGTTTCCCTGAGGATTTCCTACTACTTTACAACTCCATTTACTTCTACAGGTCGGAATTCGGAGAGGTCGAGGTCGAAACGCAACGAAAAATGAGAAGTCTGCTTGACGATACTCGCACGGGGAGAAGAACGTACTGCGAGCAACAAACGAGCAGAGTTACTGTGTAAGTGGCACTTGTTATCACTGTGTTTAGTATTTACATAGCTATTATGCTTCTTATGTTTTCCTGCTATCCACAGCACTAACATTACGTGACTGTGATTGTTGAGAGGAAAGTCCTTTGACAGGAAAATAGATAAAGTGGTACACCTCAACCATTCCCCCAAGTTACCAAAAACTGTGAAGCAAACTCGACTTAG